GGAGAAACACAGCAGGCCAGGCAGCACCAGAGGAGCAGGAAAGTTCACAACTTTCCTGCTCCTCAGGTGCTGCCTGGCCTCCTTGTGTTCCTCCAGCTCCACACTGTGTTATCTACAAACAACAGACCCTTCATTCCTTTGCATGTATCACTGCCTTCTATGTTCATCTTGAAATAATTTCCCTTCTAAGTACCTGATACCTTCCATTTTTGAACATCTCTTTCCCAGCTCCTCATCACAATTTGTCATCTACCCTCTCTCTCTCTCAACCCCTCTATCCCACTTTCTTACCCTTTGTCTCCAATCCTTTGTGCCTATCAACTTCACTCCTCACCCTGCCTTCACCGTCATCATCTGCCCCTCTGCCTCTTCTGTAGCATCATACTTTTTTCTTTGCTACAGAGTCTCTTCCTTTTCTCCTCCTTCACTGTGCAGTGACCTCCTTTCCTCTTAAAGGGGTGTATTTCCCTTCTTCTCTACCACAGCGTATCCCTCCTTCCTCTCTATCATAGGATATCTCCTATCCTCCAGCGTATCCCCCACCCCCTCACTACCACTGCATATCCCCAGTTCCTCCCTACTGTTTTTAAGTCCTTCCCCCACTGTGCCACAAAGTATCCCTTTCCCTTCTCTAATATGATGTTTCCTCATCCCCTCCAACATGCTGCCTTCCCTTCCCACTCCACTTTGCCACGTTGAGCTAAATTTTATAGCTCTCATCCAAATTGCAAATTTACATTTTGAAATTTGCAAATATAAAATGCATATTTTCAAACTTGTTGCCTTCATATATATGCATTCATATATACAGATCTCAGTACTCATTTTACAGTATTTTATCTGGAGGTCTGTAAATAGATGGTTATCGCTGTTTTACTTCCTGCGGACGTGCAATTTAGGTTTGAGTAATAGTGCACACTAAACTAACTTAGGCTATGTTGTCTTTCAAAAGTAACTTGCAATTGTGTGACAAAATGCTGTGACAGTTGGCTGTGAGTCACTCACAATTTATAGAAATGTGTAAGTAGTACCATTTTGCTTGATCATCCCTTTAAGAATACTTTTGTCATTTTAATTTCTGATCAATTCAATGGCAAATATTTGTATTTCCAGTTGTAATAATTAAAGTGTCCTGTTTTGAGATTGTAATGTAATAGTTATGCTATTCTAATGGTAAAAATGATTATCAATATATGATATAACTTGAAAAGTTATAACTGCTAATTTCTTTTCTCATCCCTTATTTCCCATATCCTATTTGATCCATATTTGTCCATTAATTGTCACTGATACCAATCTTGATATAAAGGTAGACATTCAGTGTTGCCTAATGCATTTTTCATCAAGCCTTAGGTAACATTTGAACACACTTATAGAGTCAGAGTTGTACAGCACGGAAACAGACCCTTCTGTCCAACTCATGCTGATCAGATATCCTAATTGATCTAGTCACATTTGCCAGCATTTGGCCCTTCTCCCTCTAAATACTTCCTATTCATGTACCCATCTAGGTGTGTTTTAACAATTGTAATTGTACCAGCCACCACCGCCACCTCTGGCAGTTCATTCCATACATGCATCACACTCTGCATGAAAAAGTTGCCCCTCAGGTCCCTTTTAAATCTTTCCCATCTCATCTTAAACCTATGCTGTCTAGTTTTGGACTTCCCTGCCTTGGAAAAAGGCCTTGGCTACTCACCCTATCCATGGCCCTCATGATTTTATAAACCTCTGTGAGGTCACCCCTCAGCCTCCAACGCTCCAGGGAAAATGGCCCCTGTCTACTGTGTCTCTCCCCATCGTTCAAACTCTCCAACCCCAGCAGCATCCATGTAAATCTTTCTTGAACCCTTTTCAAGTTTGATATGTTATGGAGGTGCGCAAACAATCGCTGTTTTGTGAACCATGCATTGCGTTTAACCTTATGTCAGGATTTAAATCTGGGAGTAAAAAACGTGATTTCCAGGAAATTAATGTTGGTCGTTTGTTTAAACTCTTTATTGGTGTTCTGTTGGAGTTGATTTTATACAAATAATTTAGCTTCTATTATTGGATCTGATCAGTCAGTAGATTGGTTAAAAAGCCAACTAAAATTATGTCCAAGGAAAATTGATTTAAAGCAACATTATTCAATTGAAATTTCAAATTAGCCACAAGTCTGTCTATGGTGATACTGGTATTGGCCACATACGCTAATTTTAGTGGAAGTGTATCGCGCTCATGGATTTTCAATCAACTTGCTCAGAGATGTTATTAACACACCTGTGGAGCCAGTGGCTCAGAGTTAGGGAAACCAACACTAAACAATGCAGTTAAATGTGCTTCGTGTGTCCAAATTTAGTTAATAAATATGCAATAACCAAGAAAATAAAGTATTTACGAGGTTTTAAAAAGGGGACACATTAATTTTGCTTTTCATCTTAACATCTTATCAGTCAGTGCTCATGCATACATCATGTCTACATATGTATTGACAGCAGTGTCCATTATTCATATTCAATTTACTAATCAGAAATCAAAAATTTATTTCTAAATTCCCAATTAGCCACATGTTTGGTGTATTGGACAACACTTGACTAAGGCCTTCACTGTTTGACGAATAATGGCTTCGATCCTGAAATGATTTACCAAAGACCTAAATCAGCTCCTTTTCAGTTTCAAATGAATGAGAGTTTGCTCATAACTATGTTTCTAGTTTGAAAAACTCTTACTGTTTGTTATTTACCCAAATGCTGCCCACTTACTAGGACTGCTAGCTGCAGAAAGTAGGTATCTACTTGTTTCTGTATTTAAGGCATTTCATTCTACATAAATTGTCTGCCTTTGTGTGTGTAAATTTCACTGTCTCTCCTTTCACAGGCATGGTACTGAGGAGATAAAATTACTTTTCATGCTGTTTTCATGTAATTAATTCCTGACACAAACTGATGTGTTTCAGAGACTTTCTTTGAACAGCTCGTCATAATCAGGATATTGTCAGAATGATTGTTAACAATTAACTTAAATTTCTTGCAAATATATTGTTTTAAGTAGAATCTGATAAAAGCTTATGAACCTCATGCAAATTATTCTGCACTTAATTGTTGGTCAGACTTATTTTGCAAGATTTTTTAATCATTATTTGTTCATGGGGGGCGGTGGCTTAGTATCACTCGACTAGTAATCCAGAACCCCAGACTAATTTTCTGAGGACAAGGATTTGAATCCTACCATGGCTAATGGTGAAATTTGAACTCAACAAAACAAAAGAAATCTTGATTTTTTTTTCAGAAAGCTGGTTCCATGGCTGCATTAATCTATTGTCAATTGTTATAAAAACCCATCTGGTTGACTAATCTCTTTTAGGAAAGAAATTTTGTTATGGAACCAGATTTAATCTTCAATTTATAACTTGGCCAACTGATGTGTATTCATTAGAAATCATAATTTGTACAGATCTAAGAACGTGATCTTGTTATTTAAATTGACTTGAGCATATAAGTCATAATTACAAGGTCCTGAATGCACACGTTGAAAATCAAACCATTCCTAATTTTTTAAATTCTTGTGATGTGGGTTGTTAATACTGAGCTATTTTTAGGGGAGAATGGGATGCAAGATTTTTTTTATATATGCACTGATACAATCTGTATACAATCTTCCTTTGCCTATGTATCAGGCACTGATAGCTGGGCAAAACTATTCTTGCAAAACTGCCAAAAATTGCACAGCAGCCATTAAACACTCTGGAGGACCATGGCTGGTACATTCTTGCAAACTGCCAAGGAGGGCATTGCAATAATTGAATCTGGAATTGAAAAGGAATGAATGAGGCTTTAAATGGAAAATAGGCTGAGACAGGCTGGGACAAAGGTGGAACTTAGCAGTCTTTTTTAAAGAACATACATGATTGAAGAGTTCAACTGAGATCAAAGAAATAGTAAGATTCCAAACAGTCTCATTGAGCAGGAGAAAATGCCCAGAAGAAGAATGGAATCTGTGACTATGGTGTGGTATTGTCACAGAAACCAAAGACTGGTTGTTTAGATTCGGAGAATCCCCTACAGTGCAAAAAGAGGCAATTTCCATTGTTTAGTCAGGTTGCAGCTGTATAGAATTTTAATTAGGCCACGTTTGGAATAGGTGTACAGTTCTAGTGGCCCCCACTACCAGAAAGATGCAAAGGCTCTGGAGAGGATACAG